ATGGTGCCACTTCCACTGGCTCGCTTCTTCTTCCATATCTTTATGAAAAGGGGAACACTAATGACAGAAGCGCAATGGTTATGGTTCTCTCATAAAACTTTTTATTCATAAAGCTGCAAGAAGATCAAGTAATTCATTATTTATTAAAGGCGGCGTCCCCTACGATGCCTCCGGAAGGGAGAACAAGGACCTCATCAATCGTTTCAAATTATCTTCATTTGGATGCCGACAAAGTCCTCTCGGCCTATGGGAAGTTTGGAAGATACCAAGTAAGTTCAATTTTAGTTAGCACGCGGTCCTCGGCGCAGTTTGTCGACGGGGGGGGGCATTTTGCTTTCCATAGATGTGTCGACCCATCTAGGCAGCCGTTTCTCGAGTTGACACGTTTTAGGATAGTGGCTAGACGATCTTACTTCAGCTTCACAAGTTTTACCAGAGTGAGATTTGTAAACCGGAACTAGGGAAGCAATGATAATACAAAATGCCCCCCGTCGACAAACAGCGCCCGCGGTCCTCTTCTTTTCTGGTTCTATGATCTTTTACAAGTGAGTCACTTTGTTTTTCCTATGTATGTACACTTAGACACCCTGCATTCTTGAACAAATAAATAAATATCGTCAAATGATGCCCAATTGAGCTTCATATCACTTCCTTGCATTAAATAACTTATAAGGAGAAAGCTCGACGTTCTCAGCAACTTGAGTCCTTATTATGGCAACTATTTGACAATTGAGTCCGGCTCTAATATTTCCATTTCAGATGATCACCTACCTCATAACTAACAGTGTGCATATTCTCTTCGCTATCAACATGATGGTGATGCCGTTTATCACAGAGGATCCGAAATTTGAATGTCAGATCACTCCTCCTGAAGGAGTACACTGGGTGAGTGGTTTGTACTTGTTCTTCGAGGGTTTTCCTACAAAGCTGAATGATATTTCGCGAACGATTCGTCCTCACACAGTCACAGATTTTTGAGAAAAAAAATCAGAAAAACCACTCAGAAATTGAATTCAAGCTTCAAGGTGTTTTTACCTAGGCTTGTATGCTCTCCTTCAAAACAGGGTTACTGATATGATCTCTCTCTCTCTCTCTCT